GAAGAGCGTGCCTCTGTGCAGGAAGCCCGGGGTGCCGCATTGCAGCGGGGGCCGAGGTGCTGCTGGTTGTCCACTGAGGCCGTCCTGGCACAGGGGGTGAAGGAGGCAAGCTCGAGATGGGGGTAAACTGAGTGAGGTGACATCGTTTCAGGAAAGTGCAGCCCAGGTTTGTGCTGAAGGCACCTCAGCCTCCTCGCGGGATATGCCCGGAGCATGTACTCTTACTTTCAATGGGTGTTTTGGAGACAAAAAGCAGTGGGGGCAAATGCGATACACGTCTTCTTCCATGGGTGCCATGCCTCTAGGTCCAAGCTGGAGCCTGCTGGGGGTTTGTGAGGGGAAACTTTAGTACCCATTTGGTAATGCACACAGCCCGGATCTTTACCCCTGTGCTTAAAATATCTGTATATTTCGAAGAAGAAAAAATCTCCAACCAACTCCACCTCTCTTCTGTTAGGTCCTTCCCACCTGTACCAAGGCCAAGAAGTGCGGGCAGTACGGAGCTGCAGGCAGGTGGGCTCCCGAAGTGCCCCCGAGCCCTGGCGCGCCGCTGAACACCTGAGCAGCTGCCCACCCTGCGCCTGCAAGAGAGAAACTTCTTACAATGGCACCTCGGGCTTCCAAGCAAAACCTTCTGTGACTTCACTCCAAGGGAAATACAAAAAAGGACGATTTATAAGAGCTATTTATTTATTTTGTTACACTATAATATTCCGTTTTCTAGAAAAAAAGCTGTAAAGTATTTATTTGAGACTCAGACTGTCTGTGGGGATCTGCATAATGAAACTCATGTTTTGTATTTGCTGAGGTTTTGAAAGTCATGGTTTTTCCTTTCCGATATTTTAACATTGCAAGCTTAAAACGGGGTGGGTGACTGTCTGAAACAGGGCAGCATTTTGTAGGGTTGCTGGCCGAGGAGCTGTTGCTGATGGGCCAAAGGAGACCCTTGTGAGGAGCCAGGGTACAGAAATCCTGTGGAGCAGCCTAGCACGCTGCTGTGAGCTTCAGGTGTTGAACCTGTTCCCCAAAAGGGCAAGAGAGATCAGGCCAGAACTGTGGCCAGCCCAAACTTGTAACCCAAGCACCAGGAGCAACAGGCTTCAAGCTGGGAGTCCTCAGGCACGAGGGAGTTGCCAATGCCAACTTCCACCAGCCTTTCCTAGAAAGTAATGCAAAAGCAAAGAGCACCCAGATGCTCCCTTCTCCCCTCTTCTTCTCCTGTCATTTCCATAGCCCCCTTAATTTCCCTAATCCATCACAGCTGCCTTGTGTTTCTAGGCCTGGTCCCACCTGCCTGCAGGAGGCAGCAGGGAAATAAAAGGGTGGTTGGAGGGGCAGTGGGCGGCTTGCTGGATTTTGTGTATGTTGTGGTGTGGTGGTAGGTGAGTGTAGGGGGGAGCGGGAGGCTGGTAGGAGTGAGGGGGTGGATGCTGTGTGTGGGCAGGTATACGCCAGCACAGGGCAATGAGTGTTACCTATTGCTCAAATTCATTGCTTATAACCTGTAGGTCAGATCTGAGAGGTTCTCCTCTAATTCCCCGAATCCCACCCTATGTCCATGGAATCTTTCCTTGGAGATGCAGGGAAGGAGAAGTGAGCCCACCGGGCTGGTGTGGTCTTGTGGGCAGCATGAAGATGGCCGGTGCAGGCTGGTTCTTTTCCTCCTGGCTTCCCAGAGCAAGTGCATGTCATCTGGTTTTTCCTCACCCACCTATTTCAAATGTGCATCCCATGTGATTTATCAGGCTGAGCTGTAGTCAAAAAGCCAAGTAACCTAAAATGAAAGCCAGTGGGTGAGCTGAGAATGAATAAACCCAGTCCTTGTCATAAAATGCCTTTTTTTTTTTTTAGGCTCCCTAGTAATAGTGCAGCTGGTGAATGTGGGGAAAGGGGAACTGGTTGCAACAGTCACAACCAGGAATTCTTTTTTTTTCCTGAGCCCTATAATTTTCAAAGGAGGAACCTGTGTTTTGCCCAAGCTTTCCCTGGGGCCCCTCCTGAACAGGCTGTGCAGCATCAGCCCTTGCTGCTCAGCGGGGTCAGCACTTGCACTTCAGGGGGGTTTTGGAGAGGGTTTTTTAGTTTTTAAAAGAAGGTTTCCACTAATGGGTCTTTTTTTAAAAAGGAGAAATGAGTCTCTCGCACAAACAGGGAGTCTGGACAGGGGTAATGGAAAGGATTTTCAGAGACAAGAGAGAAAGGCACAAAGCTGGCAAGAAACCTTTATAAACCCAGGAAGATTGCCGAGATTACCTATTATTATTTTCTACAAGCTGATCGCCTGGAGTGGGGGAAAGCAGGGGTTGGAATCATGAAATTACCTGTTTATGTGCAGGATTGTAATTTCTTTTACTATTTAGCTGAATGTTGAATTGTGAAAAGCTTCTGGGGGTTTCTGCTTACGAGCACGACAGGACTAGAGAGCGAGTGAAAGAGGCGGCTGTGGTAGCTTACAAGCAAAATGCTGTACAAGAAAGGAAGATGTTATTGATTTATTTGTCTTTCACATATCAGAATGAGAACAGAAAACGACATCCAAAGGCCAAACACTTAAAACCAGTACGTGTATTTGCCTTCATGCTGTACAAAGCCAGCTACTAAAATGCAGGGCCATAAAATGCTCTATGCTAGTTCTGTAGGGTTTGGCTTCGTGTAGCAATGAAACGAATGTAAGAGTACAGACTATGTATAATTAACTGGCTGTTAGCTGACAAAAAGAGCCTTTTGGGGGGCAAGGAAGCACATGACTGAGGGGATCAGAAGTTTTTACTGTGGGTGAATAACATCCTAACTGCTGTTCTGGGATTTCTTTGTGGTTATCGTGTGCCTGTCTGTCCAGTTATCTCTGTTAACAATTTGGCAATAATTCTTTGGTGGTTAGATTTCAGATGGGTTTATACAGAGGCTTAGTATTTGTTTTAATAAATAGTATCTAGGCTATGAAATGTTGCAAATCTTGAATAGGTCTTGAGAAATAAAAATAAAACTGGTAAGAAATGGAAGTGGAATGGGCTGCTTTATTTTGCTGCTCCAATATGAGTGATATGAAGTAGATTAACTTTGTAAGTAAATGGAAGCAGAGCATATCTTCAAAGTTTACTCTACAGGAATGTTCTGAGCTACTGTTGCCACCACCAAAAAAAAACAAACCACAAAAAGCCTAGGTTTTTACCTGTCTTGTGGCTGGGCAGGGTTGGTCTGACCCAACCTTGCCTTCGGCCACCTCCTGGCACTGCAACTTGTCCAGCCCAGGGCAAGAGTGGTGTTGATGCAGGGAATCATTTTTCCTAACA